ATGTGGCAGACGTGGATCAATAGATGCAAATACTTTTCCATATCTGCTGCCCAGCCATCGATCTGTTCTCGCGGTGTTTGCGATGTTTGTTGAGCTTTCAATTTCAATAAATTTAAAGTTAAAATACATATCAAATTTGACTCTCTCGTATAAAATATATCTCATTAGCGGTTATCTCAAGAATTTATTCGCCCAAAAAAACCTGAAAAAGCTTTTTATGATTTAGAAAATTATGAAAATTAGTATTTGAAATGTGAGCCGAGATATCGAGGAGAGGAATATCCAGTTATTTTGTTAATTACTTTGTTATACAACCGGAGTGTCGGCTCTGGAGTGAGTGAGAAGAGGCACAGGAAGAACCGACACAGGCTTTAAATATTCAATAATTAGCTATAATTTGTCTAAATGTTTATTAGGGAAGAAAAATAAGTAAAACACTTAAGCCTTTTTTACTGGGACTCACAAAATGCATACAACAATCTATGGGGTGATCGACCAAACACTTTACGGCCAAAACACCCCACACTTTAGCTCCTCTTATCATAGGTTATCAAATATATTGCACACAAAAAATTCTTGCCATTCAATAGTCAGTCACTATTTTGTATAAACTAATAGTAATAATCCTATCGTTTATTATTTAGTGGTCTTTTCCTACAAATGAAAAGTTCATTAAATTTGAGGAATTTTTTTGCAACGAAATAATAAAAACAAATAAAACACAACTAAAACAACCCCTTCTTCTCTCTGTCCGACACTTCCCATGACATCCAATCGTCAAATCTGTGGTTAATGTATAGGCCGTCCATCTATTAAAAGCACAATTATATAACAATATAATTCCTATACTATTATTATAATAATTAATTTAAGCCAAAAGTAAATTAGACTTCCCATAAGACTGGGAATCGTTACGTAAAAACCAATTATTATATTATAGTTAATCTACTTTATTAGTGATACTTTAGATTCAATTAAAATTGTTGTTCATCTCATTTGTCAATACAGGTATATTGTAAATAAGTCTCTCTCTCTCTCTCTCTCATTATTAAATTGATTGTAAACTTTATGTATTGAATATCAGTTGGAAACCAATTCAATGGGCAGATGTGAACACCTCGACGAAAACAATTTTACGCCAAAACCTCACTGCTATGTAAAGAGTGATCCAAACAAACCGCTGTTCGCTTCAATGATTTGTCAACTTTTACTGCTTTTCATGATATTATTGATCATGATTTTCGTGGCGACCACTCATCTCATAAACGTCTGGTTTGATCCCACGGTAGACAAGAAAGACTCACCCGATTTAGCGCAACAAAAACCAATGCAAAGCACTGTTAATAAGAGTCCAAAACAGTCGCCTAAACGCACGCAAACACGCGGTGCGAAGACATCGCCCGCTAAACCCAAGTCTAAGTCTCCGCCGAAACCCTCGCCTAAGTCTGAGCCGACAAAACCCTCGCCGGTGTCTCCAAAAGCCAGTCAGAGACCTAATGTTAAGAAAAGTCCCCCAAAAATATAGTTATCTAAATATCTTATTGAAAAAACATTGTCTATATTTTAGCTCATTTTATATTTGTATTTATAATTTTTCAAATAAAACTTGTTTTAAATTCTAAATTTTAGTTTATCTGACACTTAATTATATTTGATTCAATCATTCAAATAGTCTGTAAGATAAAAATTTGGTATACAATAGAAAAAATCATAATTTAAAACACAGATTTTTCTTTTTTTTTGCAAAGAATTTATGAATAAAGTAAACAAATTCTTTAATCAATACTTTCTTTTAAGGCTAAGAATTGTATTCAAATCATTAAATTTTACAAATAGTTTATCACAATGAATAAAATGGTTTATGTAATTTGTGCAAAAGTAAAATTATCAAAAGTAACTTGGCAAGTAGACAAGTTACCCAAAATATAATAAATTTTGGGCCATAAGCCGAGTCCCGGTTTAGTCAATATTGAGGGCACTTTCCCAGTGATGGGACCCGATATGAGTCATTTACAATCTCTGGGACCGATGACCCGATACGCGTCAGATCTGCTTCCGATGCTTAAAGTGATGGTCGGACCAAATGTTCGTAAACTCAAACACGAAGACAATGGCGTCGATCTCTCAAAAGTCAAGATCTATTACATGGAAGAGAATGGGAATCCATTGGACACTAATGTGAGCCCAGATATCAAACGAGGCATTCAACGAGTGTTGTCTCATATGAGGCAAAAATACGGCACTTATACCCGAAAAGTGCATTTCGATGGCTTTCGGGACGCGTTCTTAATTTGGGTCTATTTTATTAAACAAACAAAAATCTCAATCCCAGAAAAGGCGGCCAATTCTTCGAGACTCGATGTCATAATTGATTTAATCAAATACTTCCTAAACCTTTCTGTCTATACATTGAATTTATTAGTGATTAACGCTGTCCTCGCATTGCTTCCCAGCGTTGACTCGGAATTTGGCAAAAAGTATATCCGTTTAGGACGAGAAATGAAACAAGAATTTAAAACATTATTAGGTTTTGTACCATTAGAAATTATTGCCCTTGTTCGTTTATTTAATTATTTATAATTTAATTGCAGGCAGTGATGGGGTCTTCATATTTCCAACACATCCCGAACCGGCGATCAAACACATGTCAACAATACTTAAGTTATCCAACGTTTCGTATACCACTGTTTTCAACGTATTGGGAGTACCCGTCACTACCTGTCCATTGGGTCTCAATAAAGATGGTCTGCCTATTGGTATACAGATAGCGAGCAATCCTTTTAACGATCGCTTGACTATAGCTGTGGCACAAGAATTGGAGAAAGCATTTGGCGGTTGGGTTTCGCCATCAAAAATAGTTTGCTAACTATTAATCAATATTTTATTCAATTTTTATACACAAATACTAATAAATAATAGTTTTAATTGCAAATAAAATAATAAAATCAATTTATTTGTCGGCAAATCCAGTGGAAGAGTTGATGGTCTCGATGGACATCAATCTGGTCTCAGTATCGGTGGCTTTGCTTTCCTTTTCAGACATCTTTTTTCGCTGAGCAATAGTTTAAGTGTTCGCTAAATACAGTGAACTTTCTATATAGTGACTCTCTATACAGTGTATTTTCCATATAGTGTACAAAATATGTTAGTTTGGCGGACACTGTATGCCTGTAATGTTATTTCCGCTCCATATAGTGACTCTCTATACAGTGTAAATTCTATATAGTGGCCAAAATTTTGCTAATTTTGACTATATTTTACTATTTTTACGCTCTTTATAGTGTTTTATGGTATGAGACAACAATTTTTTGTCTTG